CAGTCCCTAGAACTGCCCAAAAATCACTTTTTCTAACTTTGTTTTCTTTAATCAAAATGTGTTTTAGTGCTCCAAAAACGTGTTTGAGCCATATATATCTGTTTTTACTCTCATTATTGAGGATACACTTCACTTTTTCTTGTTCTTGAGTGGAGGAGACTTTTATTTTTCATGGAGGAAGTTTCCTCTCCTCTTGAGTTGGGTTTTGATCCAAACTCTCCTTTGATGTTTTGGATGGATTTTCATCTTCATGCCACTCTAGAGAAGGATTCTTCACCTCTATCTTTTATTCTTATGTTTATATCTTTTGTTTTATATCATGTTTAGCATGTAGTCTTTGTTGGATTATGAATTATGCTAGATTATGATGCTTTGATAGTTAGATGATGATAATTATGGTTGACTTGATCACTCAAAATCTAGATCTCTAGGCATTTTCATATCCGGAAGGTGTTTGTGGAAATGTTTGAACTAAACTTGTTGTGAGCTTGGGTCACATAGCTACTTGACCGTGGTTCTATGAACTCTTGTGACAAAAATGGGAGAATATTAATGCTTGTCTAATCATTGAGATAGAATGCTTGACCGCAGATCTTGAATATGATTAGGAAAAGAGGTTTTTACCATTGGCGTGGACTAACCTTAATAATGAATATTCCATTGTCTAGGATAGTGTTTGATTCAACATTTGACATCATTGTTTGATTGTTAACTCATTCTTATGATAGTTAACCTCATGATCCAATGTTTTTATCTTGTTTATCTTCTTGCATTTCATTTTCTTGCATTTCTTATCTTTTAAAACAACAAAAAAACACCAAAAATATTGCTATAGCTTAGTTTGTTTCTCGCATCTCTAGTGTGCAATCTTTAGTCCTCGCGGGATCGATCCTTAAGTACTCCTCGCTGTTTCATGCACTTGTGGATTATTTGAAGCTTTATAAATATAAAGTTTCGATCGCCTATTGGATCTTTGGTATTTAGCAAAGGTAAAATAGCGCGCATCAGAAACATCTCTAGAAATCTTCTCGATCATATCCGCTTCATTGTCCCTAACATGAGAGAAAAATCACCATATTTTGTCAAATAGTTATGTGAAATTATTCTGCTGATTACAAAGAAAATTGCCCAAAGAGACAGAAAAACTCCGAAATTAATTGACGGAAAACAAACCAATTTGAGGAAGAAATTATCAACAACATACATTACAAATCGAGGTTACATTCAGTGGCTTTCTATGGTTTATGGATATTTGTGATGAAATGGCCAGAAAAAATTATCAAACACTTACATTTTATAATGTTTGTTGCATAAATAGAAAGAAGAACATATCCTTTTAATACTGTTTTATTCATTACAACAACACATGCATATCATATGGAACTTATTTGAGGTATAGAGTCGTTTATACATGACTACATGTTCAC